CATTCTTTCATCACTCACGCCTTGGGGGATAAGTTAATCAAGGAGATCACCGCTCGTAAGTGCGTAAGAGAGATGCGAACAAGTCGCACTTACGCACACTTATGCATGATGGGTAACCCGATCTCGGTTGACATCGACTCCTACTTCAGCGAGGGGCTGGCTACGCGCGTTAGCCAAGATGCGATTGGCGAGTCCGAGTGGTATGGACACATGTAAGCCGCGCTCCGTCCAGATCGCACTTGCATGTGCCCATATGGTACGTCGGATGGTGCGCTCCAGACTCCCTGTAAGGTACGACAAGCCAACACACTCTATTAATCACGCCAACATGCAATCCCCATTTTCATTCATCATGTACGAGGGTTCACAGGAAACGATCAAAAACGAAAGGCGAGGGTGCGCGAACCATCCATACATCATTTGCAAAAGAGGATTCCGGAGAACGAAAGAAAAAGGAGAAAACATCGATGAAGAACCAAATTGAACAATAGGACGAGTATATGGCCGCAAAGACAAGGGTGAATTGCCCGTAATCGACACCAAAATTTATATACACAGATAAAAAAAAGGGACGAAAAGAAAAGCGCAAATCCATGTCCATCCTCAACCTCAACTCTCTCTCCTCTATCTCTCTCTCTCTCTCTCTGATGCCGACAGTCCGTCGTCGCGCATCAACACACGAAGTCGTCACCCCGCTTGGTCCTCCTGCGCCCGTCAGGTTCTCTCCGCGCCCACAGTCCGTCGTGGCCCGCATCAACCCCGCGCATTCGGCACCAGCTCGTCGGGTCGCCTGACTCCCACTTCACTCACCTCTTACTTCGCTCGTGTGCCGACCCTCTCGATCGCGCAACCCCGAGCCTCCAGCAACTGTTAAGAGAGCAAGTTAATCGCGCAGCCGGAATTTATAGCGTGCATGCATGCGCGAAGAACACGGAATTACAAGGACGTAGATAGATGGGGGAACGGGAATGCTTACGTTTGCGTGATCGGGCCGCGGCGTGGGGAACGTACCCAACTTCACACATCGATCCGAAMATGCAAACGTGGCTACCCAGATAGGGAGGGGAGAGAGGAAGAAACGAGGCAAGAAGAATAAGGAGCAAGAAACAGAAAGATACAGTTACAAAAGTGTGCGCCCAAAATTACAGTTGCAAAAGGATTAAGGCGCCAATCAATCAAGGTCCGGGCGCAGCAGCAACAGAGAGCGCGAGAACACGCAAAGCAGCGTCCCAGAAAAATAGAAATTCCAAAATTCCAAAATTCCTAGCTAGCCTGCCAATATTATGACAAGGTCCGAAAAGAAAATCAAAATTTCGAAGGCCGTATGGCTCCGACCAAGATTCGAAAAGAAAATTCAAAAAGGAAATTCAAAAAGAGACACCGAAATTCCCGCGCGATGTCTACGCGCCCAAAAAGTCCGACAAACAAAATTAAAAGAAGGGAAATGAAAGAAAAGAAGTGATGTCAACGTTTATTAATCGCACACTCGGCGCGCACTCCGCATCCATCCGACCAAGTTTCACCCCCTTTTCCCCGTGCATTCCCGAATTGTCCCCAACAGTCATGAGGGGCTCGTGCGAGAACGAAGAAACAACGAAGAAAGCAAGGACACACATGCAATTTTTCCATGAACCTGTCCAGTCGACGTGGGACCCCCCTTAGCACTTAGGGCCGAAAAGTCGCGCATTACAGAAGCTAGTTCGTCACATATGTGACGCCCAGCGGGTTCCAAAGATAAGCAAGCTCCTGCTTGCTATCTGACGTGTCGCTCATCTCTGATTGATTGGTCGTGGATGGTTGATCTTTTTTTTCTACCGCATACCATGCAAACGAGTGTGGAAGTCATGTTGCGCGGCAGTCGTGTCCTGGTTGTSGTCACTCRTGGGGAAGAGGAAAAGGAAGACGATAGGTAGGTGGACGTGTTGATGGGGGATGAGTCGGGATAGGCGGGAAGAAACGTTCCAGCTCATCGTCCGTATCCGGAAGGMTCCGATGATTGACGATTCTATGGAAGCRGGGAAATCGGCAGCCAGTAGTGGGGAGAGAAGCGAGGTAGTCGGGATAGAGAGTGGTGAAGGTTCTAAGAAGCGCCGCRCGAAAACGATCGTGGTCGGCGCATGCGGGGATTAACCCCGTGATGACGCAATAAACCTCTACGCCGTTGATACGATGCCATCCAACGCTGAAWAGAAGTACATGGAGAGGGAACTCAGGGGAAGCACGCCGGGAGGATGAGTGGGGATGGGCTGTGACAGAGAGACRGATGCAGAAGTAATGACGGAAAGTGTCGCGGGGGAAGGGATTGTGGGGGAAGACGGCGGGGCGRKTGAGCTGGTGCAGGGTGAGGAAGTCATGGGGGCGGAGAGAGAGAGCCCGAGGATGAAGACCGATCGGCCTCATCCCGATGTGCTCGAAGTGCGGGATGGGCCGCGAGGGAGAGGGAGGYGGAGGGGGAGCTGCTTCATCGCTGGCGTCGCGGTGGGGAAGGAGGCCGRCGAGCGGACGGCCCAGCCATCTGGGCCWCATGAMCGTCGTCTGGCTGAGGTGGCTTCGGGTCGAGCGTTGGATCGTTGCTGATCGGAAGATCAGCAACCGGCCCAATTTCTAGCTGGGGATCCTCGTCGGCGTGCTCCTCRTCGTTGTCGTCACYGCTCCCTTGCTCGTTGTCTTCTTCTTCTGCTTCCTCCTCGCTCTCYGTTTGCAGGAGCTCTTCTTCGTCTCCTTCTCGCTATTGTGCCGGCTCCCCTTCGTCTTCATTCAGATTTTCCTCCTCTTCCTCCGAACTTTCTTCCGCGAGCTCCTCGCGGATTATCTCCTCAAATTCGTCCTCGTACGGCGGTCTGTAGAAAGCGGGATCCACGATGTCGCGCGGATCCAAATAATTTAGCCGTGAAGGCGGAATTCTCGATGGGAAGCCCTCCACACAAGTTGACCACTGAAGATACGGCGACAGCGTGCGCGAGGTGACGTGGGGCACCAAGCGCGGGTCGACATGGGAGACAATGCTTACGTCAAGACCGTCGGCCAGCTGCGCAATTGGGACCGTAAGCTCCTGGGTGAGAAGCCTCCGACAGCCTGGACGCACTGCCCCGAATAGAAAACCGAGAAGGTCCCCCTCTACTTCCGTCCACCACGCTTGAATCAAAAGGAGCTCCAATCGCTCAGACCGCAGATAATTTCTCTCGTCCCTCGTCCACGCCACCCGTACTTCCGCCAAACACATTGAGAGTTCGATGAAGTCTCTGCTCCACGCGTCCCACTGAGAGGGATCGAGGAGGGGAACAACCAGAGGATTTATACAGAAGGAGAGGCGGGGATGAAGATCAAACTGCCAAAAGGTGGGGAAGGAAGTAGGAAGCTCGAAAGTAGAGATCGGGAAGGAGCTCATCGGGGATGGAAGGGGATGAGAGGGGGTAATTCCGTCGGCGGGTCACGCCGATCAAGTCGAAGGCCGTTGTATTCGATCGCTCGGATTGGTGTGATCACGTCCCCTTGGTGCACCAGGAGCTGGGTCCACTCGTTCTGAAGATTGTGCACCCACAGAAGCAATGCCGCCTTGATTCCTAGTGCCGGCAGGGGGGGATCGCCGTGAGATCTCCACTGAAATTAACCACCAACGTTATTCGTCCGACGCCCGCAGATGCTCGTTGTCGCAATTCGACAGCTTCGGCCAATATGATCGCGTCAGCCCTCTGGTCGAAGTGGATCTCTGCTGCCGCATAGACGCCCTTCGAGCAGAAGAATTGCGCAAGCCGCTAAAGGTCCGGACTAAGACGAGGATGATGCACCTGCCACAGTGTCAAATTCCCACGTGCTACCAGCGCTTCTTCACTTAGAACTCTCTCCTCTATAAAGCTCATGGCGACGGCGAGGGTGACGGCGTATCCGACAGAGATTGAGAAGGAGAAGGAGATGCAGAGGAGATAGAGTCGTCGTCGGGAGAGGTTGATGGAGAAGGAGACGGAACAGAGGGAAGAAGACGGAGATAGGACACATGGTGTGTGATCGGGCGAGCCGATCGAGTGCCGGAAACCTCGGGAGCAAGGTGCACGGTGTCCACGCCGTTGGGTCCGAGTTCAATCACTCGATACTGTCCGAAGAATCGTGGCGCTAGTTTACCCTGGCGCGCACATTTCCTTACCTGCACGATGTCCCCTAACTTATACTGGGTCCTGGGACCCGCATTCCCGTTCCGCGCCTCGTAACTCCGGACCTGTCRGCCATGGGCCAATTCGGTGGACCGTTGTCGCTTCCGGGCCAGTCTAGGTAAGGACCGCTCCATAAGTTCCAGGTGTCTTTTGGCTTTGTCCCGAGCGGTGGCCCTTGTGGGGCGTCGGTTGAGTCCCGATTCGTCTGGGAGGCTCGGTATCGACACACACGCGACACTATTGGTCCGTAACTGGAAGGGGCTTAGGCCCGTCGATTCGTGGGGCGTTCCGCGATGGACGACCAAGATGTGGTCGACAATATCAGGCAAGGGTCGGGGGTCACGTGACGCAATATTCCGCCGCAAGGCCGTCTTTATCACCCTATTCGCGTTTTCCACTAATCCGTTAGACTGGGACATGTGCGGGGTCGTGTGTCGTATAGAGACGTCGTGTATGACCAGGTTCCTCTCGACTTCTCCTCTAAATTCGACCCCATTGTCGGTCAGGATCTCTTCGGTGTCCTTGTGCATGCCTAGAAAACGGTTGACGTACCGCGCGATTTCCGCGGCTGGTCGTGTCTTGCAGGGGTAGGCCTCGATACACTTAGAAAAGTGGTTGACGAAAACCAGCAGAATTGAACAGTCGCAACTATTCGGTCCAAGGGGCACCACTATATCAGTAGTATTCATACTAACCCTCTGAAACGGCCTTTCAACCACAGTTGGGACTATCAACCTAGGCGGTTGGGTTGGGGCCTTGTCAGCAGCGCAGACCTGGCAGTGTTGGACGATGAATTTAACATCGTCCTGGATATTGGACCAGTACCATTGATTTCTGTAAATCGCAGCTTCGGTAATACGCACGGCAAAATGCATCGTCATCTCCTCGTGGGCTGTTCGTACCCAGTCGTACGGCATAAACGGGTGCGGAACTACTAACCATGCCCCACTGCCGTCTGTTTTACGCTTTTCTAACCGTCCATCCACCCATCGGTAATCCCGTGCTCTTTCATTGGCCCTCCTCCGATCCTCCTTTGAGAAGGTTTCGAGGGAGTTCACTACCACAGTGGCTATCAAGACGACATCTGTCCAGACTTCCGCTCTTCTGAATTTTTGAATTTTGTCGGGGCCTTCCGACGTGGTATCGAGGAATCGGGCTTCCGTCGGAATCTTGTCAGTGCGACATAAGGGACAGAACCAGGGTCTATCACTACTCTGATACTGTATGCACGCACCATGAGCATGTGCGACACATTTCCGACATTCTACCCGTTCAACATATCCCCTCCCTTTAGGACACATGTGGACGGAATAGACTCGAGAGATTGCCTCGCAGAAATAGCAAAATTTGTCAGGAAGGGAGGCGAAAGAAGAGGATGGGGTAGAAAGAGAGGGAATCTGGACATTACCTCCGTCACCCATTGCCCTTCACCGGCTTCCTGCCACGTGGAAGAACCACAACTTCTCCGTACTTTGGACCGTTATTGATGTCCGGGTCCTTCCACGGTGTGATTTCTTCCGCCTTTGGTACTTTACCGGGTCGGTGCAAACGTGTCAGTCCGTCGGCGTTGCCGTGTCTCTCCGTTTTTCGATGAACAATGTCAAATTCATACTCTTGCAACCGCATTGCCCATCGTCCGATCATGCCTGTGTAGTTGGTTAGCTTTTTCAGAGCCAACAGAGGTTCATGGTCGGTGACAACCAGAAACTTTTAACCGTACAAATACGGATGGAAGTGCTGGTTACCCCACACTACTACATTGCATTCTCCTTGTGGCGCGGAATCGTTTCGTCGCTCGCCTAGCACCGTCCGGGAAGCGTACTCAATGACATGCTCCTTCCCATTGTTTCCCTTCTGTGCCAGAATGGTCGAGATAGCCCCCGGTTGCCAGTCGGTGATGAGAATAAACTGCCGAGAGGGGTCAGGTCAAATTTGAATCGGGGCCGTGACAAGAGCAACCTTCAAGGCCCCGAAGGCCTGGTCGCACTCGCCATCCCAATGAAGGGGCTGTTCTTTTCGCAGCAGGTTTGTCAAAGGCCTTGCTATAGCCGCGAAACCCTTAATGAACCGCCGACAATACGAGGCCAGGCCCAAGAAGGCTCGAACCTGCGTCAGTGAAATCGGAACAGGGGCCTCTTTGACCGCCGCAACTTTTCGAGAGTCCGGCCGTAGGCCTCCTCGTGTCACCACATACCCCAAGAACGAGATTTCCGGGAGGAAGAACTCGCTCTTTTCCAGCGCAATCTTGAAACCTGCATCTCTCAACGCACCCAACGTCCATTCGATGTGCTGCGCGTGTCCGTAAAACGTGTCCGAGTACACCTGAATGTCATCCATGTACACGATGACGCATAAGTTAATCATCCCCTGAGTCAGCCATGTCTTATTGACGAAATTCTGAAAAGTCACGTTCATCGCCCTCTAAAACGTGGCAGGTGCATTGCAGATTCCCATCGGGCACCGAACCCACTGCCACGTGCTTTCAAACAAAACGAAGGCGGTCTTGGACCGATCTTCTTCCTTCACCAAGATATGATGAAACCCATGCCGAATGTCGAACTTGCTGAAGTAGTTAGCACACCCTATCGCATCAAGCAGATCATCAATCTGGGGAAGGGGATACACATCCTTAATCGTGATATCACTTAGCTTTCAATAATCGATGCATATGCGGATTGACCCATTCTTTTTAGGAAACAATACAACTGGGAACGACCAGGGACCGGTGGCAGGCTCAATCCATCCGTTTGCCTCAAATTCCTTGATTCGCTGCAAGGCCGTCTTGCGCTCTGTCAACGAGTATCGGTACGGCTTGCAGTGGATCGGGGAATGATTTCCGGTCTGAATCTCATGCTGAACGACCACAGATAACCCAATATCGACATCGAACACGCTAATCGCCCCTTGATATTCTATTAAAATATCAGCGATCAGCCGATGGATCTTATCAGGTACATAATGGGGCACATGCAATTCATACATTTGATCCAAGATCCGAACATTAACCTGCTTCGTGTGTATACACCGAGTAGTGTCAAGCGGTGCGGATATAAAAGAGTGATACGATCTCCAAGAAAACATAGTGGCCACCATATGTGCTTCCTCCTCCCTGATCGCTGTATGACCTTCAGGGGTTATCCCGTCGCAGATGTCTCGCCAGGGCACGCTTTTGGGCGAGATTTTGATCCCGAGTTCCTCGGATCTTGCCTCGATGCGCTGAGGGGGTTCCAAAGAACCTGCTTCGGCTCCCAAACGCAACAACTGAACCTCTTTTGCGGGCTGAAGCAGGGATCGAGGTAAGCCAGTGAGATCACAAAAGGAACGTTTGTCACTATATCGAAGGAGGAGGGGAGATACGCCTCCGTACAGGGTCCGAGGGGGTTCCAAGGAATCAACCAGCCTCGAAATATGTACGAGGGGTTCTCCCATGATCATCATATGAGCATTATGTGTGGTTAGATGCATGGTACGCGCAATAGTGCGAGGCGACGGGTAGTGAATCCGCTGCTGTACTAACCGTGTAACGACTGGATCGTCATCGTCGTCGCTCCCCGCGCCGTTCGATGATTGGCCTTCGTCCACAGGTGCACTCCAGGAGACCATGCGGAGCACTCCCCTTGTTTCCGGAAAAATTCAGGGTACTACCTTAACCGATGTTCGAAGAGCTAGTATGATGGGTATTACATACGACTTTCCCCCGATATTCCGGAGAATGACGGATCGGCGTTCGAAGTCTAAATTAGCACGCAGCGCCACCAATGCACAAAGCGCGAAAAGAACGTCATACGTATTCACATCCAGCACCACAACATCTGCTAAAGCACGCACTTTTCCCAATCGGAACGCGACATTCGTCATTCGCCCTACTGTCTTGATCTTCTCCTCGTCAGTCGATACGAGCTGGTCCTTCTCGGTTAGCATAATCAAATCATTCTTCCTACCCGCTCTCTCGACTACTCAGAGTGATATTGCTAGGACAACCGCTCCCGAATCTATGATCGCACTATACGGTACTCCCAAGACTTCAATATCACATTCGGCTGACTTCCACGGAATCGGCTTGATCCGAAGAAAGTGCTCATCTTTCTGTATCAATCCGACTCGGATGGGGTCAGGGGCGATGTCCGCCTTTTCCTCCGAAGTCAGCGCCTTCGCCTTCTGATCTTTTGCGAGTGCAAGGGCGAATCGCTTCCGGTTCGCTTTGCAATGCTGCATCATACGTTCATTCGCCTGTTTCGAAATGGAGAGTAGGTGGCCGATTGGGAGAGGGATTCGATGATCCAGTGCTCTCTTTCCCCTGTAACAAAGGTAGGGCCTCCCGTCTCCATTTCGCTCGATGAAGGCCTCCATTCGGCGACATCTCTGGACTCGAGTTTCGGTCGAATCGTCCCAATCATTCCAGCCCCGGGTATCCTAGTGATACATACTGCTCCAGCGGGATAAGCTCTGTTGCTTCCTCACTGGAAATCATCATTCCATTACTTCCCCCCTGATCATCCATCACAGCTCCTACACGTCCAGGGCCGTTAGCTATGGGAGTTGCAGCTGCAAGCGCGACCCCAGTTCAAGGCTGCATGGCACGTGGGGGCAATCTCGGGCCAAGTGTCCCGGCTGATGATATGTAAAACAGGCATTTGCCGCTGTCCCGGCTGGCCCCGCTACAACTTGTGCAGCAGTTATGCCTCCCTGCATTGGTGCTCGCACCGCAATGGGTCGCATATTCCACCTCATAGCTTCTAATTGGGCGCTGTGCTCTCGCTGTTCCTTCTTGCTTTCTTGGATTAGACTAACCAATGTTTTAGTTAGCTCCAAGATAGCAGTAGACTCATTCGTTATTGCGAGTGACTCGATGGTGGGTGGCAGTGGAGGTGGTTGAGTTACGGTTGGGTACGCCATTACCGGGATCTGCCCGTTTACAGTCGCTCCACATGGTGCGGTCCTCGATGTCACCTGTTCTACATACGTGACGGGTCCGGCTACGAATCCCATGTTTTCAAATTTGTTTTGCAGGGTGGCCAGTTCCACCCTTGCTTTCACAAGTTCGGACGAGTCTCCTTCTCTACCATAATCCTCATTTTCAAAGAAGCTAGCTGCGAACTTCCGCTCCATATCTTCGGCAGCATCCATAATTTGTTGCAGCGTGTGGTTAATGGGAGAAAAGTTTTTGCGTAGCTTCCCCCGAATCGTTCTGTTACGTAGTCCATCAATGAACAGGTCCCGGCCTACCTGCTCGCCCGGTCCGTCTTTACAAACATTCAATGAAATCTGTTCCGATACTCGGTAATGGATTCGAGTGGTTTCTAGACTCGGTCCTTGATCATATAGAGTGCTTGTTCAGGTTGAACATAATCGAAATGGTTCATGAAATCCCGCTCGAAAGTGGGAAGATCCACCCATACATAAGTGTCATACCAATGATGGGCGGCCCCCCCCATCCGCGCGGGGATGTTGATCTGAGCTTCATCGTTCGTATACCGCTGAGCTCGGAGCGTGGCCAACCATGCTCCGGCGAGATGGTGTGTTGGGTCAAATAAATAAAGATCTGGTGGAGCCACCGGGGCTCGCGCAGGCGGGTTGGGCGGTTGATTGGGGATGACCGCCGCAGCGGCTGCTGCAGCAACGGCCACAGCCATGGCGCCTGTTCGCCTTGTGGCGGATGTTCGGCTTCGTGTATCTACAAGCCTACGTCGGCGTGTATTACCGGCTGAAGGGCGCCTACGTGGAGCCAGATCGCCTCGCCTTAGCCAGTATTGAGTCTATATACCCTATCGCTTAGCCACGTGTCGGGCTCCGATACCAACCTCACGCCCGACGCGCCTTCATGATCGGAGTGGGATGTGGGCCTGGAAGTGCGAAAAAGGGTGTGCCAAGGATTTTTGGAAAGTGCGGGTGGAGTCCTAGGTCGGAACTGAGATCTCCAGTGGCAAGGTTCATGGGCATAGATGCAATAGAGCAATGGGAAAATTTACGGGCGCGGGCTTGCACGTTGGTTGTGCAGGGCCGTCCAATCCGGACGCGATCGCCATTTCTGGGGAGCCTGTAAAGGCAGTCCTTGGAGCCCACGCCTTCGGGGCCCGCCACGTGGCGTGGGTTGGTGGGAACTATGCCTAGGTGCCAAGGCTTCGGGGGTTCGGGTATGGGCACGTTGCCTGCAGCTTCTGCACGAGGTGGAGGGCCAATAAGGTGCTATGGAATTCCACGGTACTACTGTAAGTTGATGATAGGAGAGGAGGAGGTGGTATGGTGGGAAATTAGTGGCGATAAGGATGAAGCCGGGGGTTATGAAATACTGCGTGTTGTACGTGTTTGGGTAGTCGGGTCCCCGCGGGTCGTTTCGTACGGCGAGATGGAATTCCCTAGCGCAGAATCTATCGTTTTCTGTGAGGCAGGGGAACACAGGGTTCCTCAAACTTCCCCGTAATCGGAGTTGCTCTTCTTCCCAGATTTCCCGGTACCCGAAATACGACTCGTAATCCTCGAAACTCCAAGATACGTCGGAACTCCGCGAGCTCGTCATTCTTTCATCACTCACGCCTTGGGGGATAAGTTAATCAAGGAGATCACCGCTCGTAAGTGCGTAAGAGAGATGCGAACAAGTCGCACTTACGCGCACTTACGCGTGATGGGTAACCCGATCCCGATTGACATTGACTCCTACTTCAGCGAAGGGCTGGCTACGCACGTTAGCCAAGACGCGATTGGCTAATCCGAGTGGTATGGACACGTGCAAGCCGCGCTCCGTCCGGATCGCACTTGCATGTGCCCATATGGTACGTCGGATGGTGGGCTCCAGACTCCCTGTAAGGTACGACAAGCCAACACATTCTATTGATCACGCCAACATGCAATCCCCATTTCATTCATCATGTACGAGGGTTCGCAGGAAACGATAAAAAACGAAAGGCGAGGGTGCGCGAACCATCCATACATCATTTGCAAAAGAGGATTCCGGAAAAGGAAAGAAAAAGGAGAAAACATCTATGAAGAACCAAATCGAACAACATGACGAGTATATGGTCGCAAAGACAAGGGCGAATTACCCATAATCGACACCAAAATTTATATACACAGATAAAAAAAGGAACGAAAAGAAAAACGCAAATCTATGTCCATCCTCAACCTCAACTCTCTCTCCTCTCTCTCTCTCTCTCTGATGCCGACAGTCCGTCGTCACGCATCAACACACGAAGCCGTCACCCCGCTTGGTCCTCCTGCGCCCGTCATGTTTGCTCTGCGCCCACAGTCCATCGTGGCCCGCGTCAACCCCGCGCATTCGGCACCAGCTCGTCGGGTCGCCCGACTCCCACTTCACTCACCTCTTACTTCGCTCGTGTGCAAACCCTCTCGATCGCGCAACCCTGAGCTTCCAGCAACTGTGAAAAGAGCAAGTTAATCGCGCAGCCGGAATTTATAGCTTGCATGCATGCGCGAAGAACACGGAATTACAAGGACGTAGATAGATGGGGGAAAGGGAGTGCTTACGTTTGCGTGGTCGGGCCGCGGCGTGGAGGAAGTACCCAACTCCACACATCGATCCGAACATGCAAACGCGGCTACCCAGATAGGGAGGGGAGAGAGGAAGAAACGAGGCGGGAAGAATAAGGAGCAAGAAACAGAAAGATACTGTTACAAAATGTGCGCCCAAAATTACAGTTGCAAAAGGATTAAGGCGCCAATCAATCAAGGTCCTGGCGCAGCAGCAAGAAAGAGCGCGCGAACACGCAAAGCAGCGTCCCAGAAAAACAGAAATTCCAAAATTCCTAAATTCCTAGCTAGCCTGCCGATATTACGACAAGGTCCGAAAAGAAAATCAAAATTCCGAAGGCCGTATGGCTTCGGCCAAGATTCGAAATGAAAATTCGAAAAGAGACACCGAAATTCTCGCGCGATGTCTACGCACCCAAAAGTCCGACAAACAAAATTAAAAGACGAGAAATGAAAGAAAAGAAGCGACGTCAACGTTTATTAATCGCGCACTCGGCGCGCACTCCGCATCCATCCGACCAAGTTTCACCCCCTTTTCCCCGTGCATTCCCGAATTGTCCCCAACTGTCATCAGGGGCTCGTGCGAGAATGAAGAAACAACGAAGAAAGCAAGGACACACATTCAATTTTTCCATGAACCCGTCCAGTCGACGTGGGACCCCGCTTAGCACTTCGCGCCGAAAGTCGCGCATTACAGAAGCTAGTTCGTCACAACCTGCCCAGCCTGCTGCAGGTCGCCCGCTCTTAAGGCTTATCACCGACTTGTCTACAATCTCAAGTGGTTCGTGCGAAGCATGCCCCACCCGGCGAGCGGGATTGAACCTACGACCACCTGAATGGCACTTTAGTGCGCAAAATATAGACACAATTGCCGCACGCTGAATTGGGGGGAAGACAACAGGGCTGTCTTTTGTCTGCGTTTCAAATTTTTTGATCGTTTCTCCATTCATGCAGAGGCCAAAGAGGGAGCATGTCGGGGAGAACATGGAACTTGAAAGGGGCAAATATGCCAAACGGAATTTGGGAACCGGGACTGAGGACAACAAACAATATGCTCAGACACAAGCTCACAACTGTGTTCGCTAAAGTGCCTTCTTACATCGACGCAGTCAGATCCAGCACACTCTGTGATAAAAAGCAGGGCAAAATGCCAGAGTCTTTTGTTGTGAGCGAGAACATCGGGGCATCCCCGTAGATGTATCTAATGTGTTTGAATAATTGATTAGCCTGGATGATTGATGGACGTCATCCTCGTTGATTGATTGATTTTTTTTATTTTTTATTTTTTTTGTGTGTGACAGAGAGAGAGACCACATACATCAACGGAAGGTACAGTGAGTGGCCTGGTAGAGCATAGAAATATCTGCCATTGCTGTGTGAGGTCGTAGTCAAAGCAGGACTTCCGTGTATGCATCCGACCCCAGTCATGGGCGGCTTGCAGGCTACCAGGACGAATTCCATCGGCAGACAGCTGTCGCCGAGTCTCGCTTAGGTGTGTTGTTGA